ACTTCGGAATTAAATTTCCGGTCTTACGGAATCCGAGGAATCCTTCGTCGGCAGCCGGTCGGTAATTCGATCAGCAATCATGATGAGGCCGGCCGACGTTGTCTCTCTTTTACGTGATAGCCCGTGCGCCGTTATGTACACAAGTAGGTAAATAAATGAAAAGGATACAAGGAGATACTGCTGCGAGGGACGTTGCTGGCGGCTAGGGAAACTGCACGCTGCGAGATAAAGAGTTGAATATATCCATAGACAGGGGTGATAGACGTAATTACATATTATCGATGTTAACAGACTGACCGCGATTGCATCCGCTTTCATTTTGCACCGCAGGCAGTATGGGAAGAACGGCGGATAATTATTAATTAATGGGCAGCTAGCTTTAATAAAATGCATCATAAATGCACGACATTAATCGCGTAATGATTGGAACTCCGTTAGTCGAAACAATTTGCTCTCTTTCATACGGTATCTCGTATCGCAGCCAACGAAAATATTATTCATTAACAAGAGAGCACAATTTGTGTATATATTTACGCGTATAATAATATTAGAAATTGCTTGATGCGGTTTCACGCGCCTTGCACACGGCTGCGCCCCAGCCCTGCGCAGTGCACGAGCTTTGCTCAGTCGTACGTGAGACGAGCAGCTAGACGCACGTCCGCTGATCCCAATCCGCCGTTCGTGCATGAACACCGAGACAAGTGTGTAGCTGCTGGAATGAGCCGTCCATTTGCATTTCAATGCCCTCGTCGGTCCGAGCAATGCTCCGTTTCCCTTCCTCGGCAGTCGTGAGTGTCGGGTTGAATCGCTCATTTAAGACAGTCTCTGACTTCCACCCTCGTAATATTTCCCGTAAAACTTAGTATGCACACGCGGATGGCGCGAAAGTTCGCCACTGTTAATCCTTCGAATGTCAAGGCGATTACGGAAGCTCGCTAGAACGAAATTACGTTGTCCCCGACAGTCTACGTAGAAATGATGCTCGAAATAACGTTGAAGAAAACATTCACGAATGTAGCGTCACTGAAAATGAGCGAAATGTAATTTTAAATCACATCCCTTATTGACACATTCCAGTTATTATTCGCAAATTAGATTTACCGCAATTGAACTGCCGGCCGACGGCGTTCCAATATAATTCCGAGTGACGAAATGTGCGAAATTGCTATCATTATCCAACGACAGACAGTGTAATATGCATATGAAACTTGCAGCGAGCTAATCGATTTCAATCCGAACTTGGGTCCGCAAATTCCGACCACCTGTTTATGGGAGCGGTGATTACCGAATGAAATTACGTGCACCTGTACGCATGCAGGTCGAAGTGCATGCATTAATGCATACCTACCTACTTTCAGCCGTCCGAACTTCCTCTCGCGGATCTGCGGGCGCTCTCGGTGCCAGCCTGGCACCGAGAGGGACATCGATTTTCTGCCGAGCGATTCGATGTTCATAGCCGACCCTCCGCATGAAGATCATTGGTGTAAACACGAGGCGGCCATGCCGGTGTGCGCGTGCGTCTGTGCGAGCATCGGGCTTTCCACGATAGACGGGAGCGTCGTGCCGCCACCCCGCACACAGACGCGCGCGCGGATCCCTTTACACGGCGGATGAGTTTAGATTGATATTGGCTGGCGAATGGATTTATCTAAAATTAGAGTCCCCGTGCCGTCACACAGACTTACAGGGACGTCGATTCTCGCGCACTGACGCACCCGCACAGCGATACAGCGATCACACCGTTTCGCGCCGCGCTAAAGTTAGAATCGGTTACTTCTGTCGATACCGCTCGACGGCACCGATGCTTTTCTAATTTCGGCGCCGTATCGCGGAATCGCGGAAACGATTCAACGAGATCCCACGATTTAATTCCATAAATGATTCAATTGTCTGTCGCCTTCCTCGCTTTCGTCAATGATCGGATTTCAAATCTTTTCGGAAGAGCCTCACGTTTCGTTGGAAAATTTCGAATCGTAGAATTCGACGAGCGATAGTAAGGATAGAAGTTTCACTTGTTCGACCAATAAAGGGAGAGGAGGCACGGCCAGAAGTTCTCGTTGAGCCTTGTAGCTCCTTGGAGACATTTCTCACGGGACGGCCGAGCGGACGATTAGATTTGGATCTGCAGTTTCCTAGATTTCTCGCCGATTCAAGGGAGGAGGAGGAGGAGGAGGAGAAGGGAGGGACATTACGCCCCTGAGGCAGATCACCTCCGTCCTGCGACCTCTTGCGCTTAGGCCAATTTCGATGTGTCGCGCCGTGAGAGCGCGGTTTGAAGAGGGCGGTTTCTCTTTTTCCCTTCCCGCGACGTTACACGAAGAAGGTCGTACGAGAAAAGAGAGGGAAGTGCGGCAGAGGAACGAGAGAGATCGGAGAGTTAAGAGGATCGTGTTGACAGTAGGGCGAGACGGATGCAAACGAGAGAGCCCCTCACTAGACATTGTTGTGGATTACGAGGAAGTGAATCGAGGGGCGGATCAATGGACGAGGGGACGAAACCTTGAAATAAACCAATCTGTTTATTTCTAATGGGCTTGAATCACGGTGTAATCACCGAGGAGGGGGAACGATCCAACGATGGCCTCGCCTGAATCACGATGGATGTTCTTTGCGCTACGGCAATCGTGCAAGTGGCAATCTTATAAAGTTTAATAGCCAGCGCGTCGTAGTTCGCGTTCGATTAACCAGACTCCGCATGAATTTCAAAAGAAAGCATCGCCGCCTCGTTGCAATTTTAGTGTACTCCCGGTGCAAATGAGAGTTGGATGGAGTTGGCGGAATTCTAAACTAAAGTCACGTCCGCGAGCTCGTCGCCTCGGCTCGCAAACGCATTTATAAAATACAGACGTGACATTTATGATAAACTATGCGAGCTATTCCAAACATTTGCAATCACATTAGCGCTTCGATGAAACTATTTTTAACAATGGGGAAAGTTCGTTTTCTTTCTCGCACCTTCAAAGTTTGTGTGCCGTAATGTATACAACTTCCTTCGAAGCTGTGTTGCTACAATATTTAACAATTTATTATTCATTAGTTCTGTATTATTTACGAATATCGTAGATTTTCCGTGAAATTCATGAATTTTATTACTAATTTTTATGCGGGACGCCTCAGAGCTGCCTTTGAATTACAGATTTTACGATTAATTTGGACTTGCCTTTCACTTCTCGAAAGTTTAATGGAGCTTACTCGCGTTGTCATTTGTAGTCTTTCTAATTTACATTACAGACATTAAAATTTAGTGCAAATGCAAGCATAAGTGCAGAATATTTCTTCAATGAAATATCGCCGTTCACGGCTTGCAGAAAATATTTGACAGCGAGGAGCTGCAGAAAAGTGTTTATACTTTTAGTGCAGCGATTCGCGAGTACATTCCGACACTTCTCGCAAAAGCATCAGCACATACGACGATTTTCGCGCGGTGGCACTTTCGCACTATCAACAAACTCGCGTGTGACTCTTTTACAGTCCCGTAAAATATATTGGTTTTCTTTACATCCGCGTGGCGAGTTCGTTAAGTGTAGCTATTTAACAATTTACGGTTAGCATTTCCTCGTCGGAAACGCTTCCCGGGCAATGGAACTCTGAACTGCTGTACCGCGAGTGTAGCATTTATTTCCACAGCAGTCGAATATTCTGCGAAATGCAAACGGGCGATTCCGAACGAATAATCTACGGCGGCGCGATTTACGGACCTTCGTGACCGAGTTCTGCTGCTTAAACAGATCGATACGCGCGAATGGCGGCGACGTGAATTATTTTATTATCGGTTCCCTTTGTGAGAGCATTTTTTGCCGAAGAAGTGTACATTAATACTCGGGGACATGCACGCAATATTCTGACATTTCGAAATAATAAAATACGTTATCGGAACCCAAAGGGAGGAAAAGGGAGGAAAAGAAAGCGAATGAGAGAGGCAAGAATTCCACCTTTCAAGTCCTCCATTTTCCGCTCTTACTGTGCGGGTCTATCCCTTCTCGACACGGTTTTCGTCTGAATATCCAGAGCTTTTGCTCCCACAGTCTCCCTCGTTCTCCGCTTTTTTTTCCCTTCTAACGACCGAATAGTCTGGCCGTGACAAGTATATCGACCATTTCCGCCAACTTTCTCGCACCTACGTACCTGCCGAAAGAACACTAATGCACATGGTAACTTAGAAATATCGAAAATAATGCAGCAATTCTTTCGTAGCGCTACGACTGTATTGTTACATGGTAACACTGGCAGTAAACAGGTAGAACATGTATATCCCGCGTTTGCCTTCCAGTCGCAAAAAGCTAATATTAAAACTTTGAAAATTCACAGTTTTAAATTGAATTCAAGAGCTTTGTAAGCTTTATTTTTCTTTACAAGAAACTATTTATGAGCAGAGCTCAAATGCGAGCACACATTTATCACTGCACACACGAAAACAATAAAGCAAAAACTGAAAACCTTTTAAAACGAAATTTATATTTAAACTAGCAATGCATACGTATTTTTCACTCTTTTCTACGCGTTTTCAGTCTCGTTTACTCCAGTAATATCATTCGCCTTATAAATTAAGGTAACGGTGCCTTTAATCGATCGGCTGGAGTCGATTGTACCGTATCGAACGGCGATTATCCATTCGCTTTCTATTCGCAATCTCTTTTCGATCGTTCGAAACGGGGCACAGTCGGCGATCTTTTTTCGATTAATTGTAAGTCTCGGTATAACCAGATTGCCAAATCAAAGAGAGTCCGAGGATACTCGCGCCGAAGGTTTTTTTTTCTTTTCTTTCTTTCCGTCCTGAAGCGTTTTCACCATCTTCTTTCGATTCGGAACCCCGCTCGACCGTCGTGCACCCTTACCTTTGTACTCGGCTACTTCCGCCAGCCTCATACCTATTCCCTTCCCTACCTCTGGTCACGCGATCGTTCTTACTAGGGATTTTCCAGACTGTAAATTGCAAAAGTTCTAACGCGATCTCGCCGTATCACGTCTCTAAGCCCAGCCGTTGTTTCTTTTTGTTTCAGATCCTGAGGCGGATTTCAAGATGCGACTCGGCGCGCTCTGAAGGTAAGTTTGAGTTAATAATACAGAGGTAATTAAAATTGACCTTTGAAGATGATAATTGCTTTAACATAGATTGAATTTGCAAATTATTTACGATCCTTAATAAAAAGATTTCAAGCAATTTTAAGCAAATGCAAAATATAATTATCAAATAATGCAAGATATTCTCGTATTATTCGTATTATTCTAGAAATAGATCTGATTTTATTTTATAATTTACAAGATGGTGTGGAAACGCTAATAAATTCTCCTCTCAACCAATTCAATTATATTAAAAATAATGCACCAGAACTCTCTAATTCTAATCCGCGTAGAAACAACGTGTGAAAGTTCCTAGGCTGCACTGAATGCTTTCGAAACTTTCCAATATTCCAAGCAATTTGCTGACTTTTGTTGGGAGTTCGGTTTAGAGATTGTTTCGGCGGGACAATCGGGGCAAGCGCGATTGGCTAATTTGAGGTTTGAAAAAATTCACGAAGGCCACGAGAAAAGCCGCGATTGTTTTCCTTCACTCGGCGAATGCGCTTCTTCGCGTGTTCCGCGAACGTACTTGAAATTTATCGAGGTAACAACAGGCAGCGCGATGGCACGAAGCATCTCCTCCTCTTGAGGCTCTCAAAAAGTTCGCCGTTCTTGTAAAGTGCTCGAAACAATTCCGACGCAAGCCGGTCGACGGCATCGCTTTTGTATCGAGAGTGCCAGGACAGCGAAAGTTTTTGCATTCCCTTGTCACGCGGCGCGATTTATCCCGTGCCCGGAATATGCAACAACATTTACATGCAACGCGCATCTACGTTCGATCGTAAAAATGTCCTCGATTATACATAAAATACGAGAGCAAAACTCAATGAAAATGTTTTCTAATAATCCAAGAAACTTGAGAGAAAAATATAACAATTAAGTTTATACTAGTCATTTCAAAAATTCTTCGCTAATAATAATGATTTTTTCAGTGCACTTTTTAAATATTCGCAGTATTTTTGATCTCGATATCTGTAAAAATTAAACGAAGCATTTTTGCATTTTTTCTCAAAATAAACGCTCATATATATGTGAGTGCAGATTCCAATTAAAGCTCGTATTTTTATGTAAATCAACTTCGCCTAAAAACGTACAGAACTGTTGCTTCGGGCACTAGTTTTGACGGTCTCATTGAGAGGCGCATATTAATATTTTTGCGAGACCAAACCACGCGAAATTTTTGATCTAATAATTCCTTTGATCACATTAGTTACATAGCTGTGTTATTAATTATCGCCTATATTTCATTGCGTATACATATTAATCCCAATATTACAAATGCGCTTTTGCTAGAATCTCGCTAAATTCATATCGAATAGGTGTATGTTACTATTTGGCATCAAAAACAAATATCAAACTAGAAATGAATATCACTTGAATAAACTACCGACTGTGCGTTCGATATAAAGCGTAACACGAAATTAAAACTCGCACGGCCGTATAAAAATTTTACAGCTCGCGACGACGCTCGCAAGAGAAATGCCTAAAATGGAGAACCTTCGGGGAAAGATTCGCAAAATTACGTTTGCCGGCGCTCGACGTTGGCCTCCTCTGAGAATGAATAAATTAAGAAAGGAGCTATACTTGGCTTTCGACGGGCAAAGTCTCGTGCGTGCTTAATTAAATTTAGCGCCGTACTTGGCGTAGACTCTCCTCCGGTTGCCGATGTTCTCCCTCTGATATTCTACGGGAAAAAATGATATGGAACTATATGGAAAAATTATCGAATATTTGTTCACTTGTCGCGCATATGTGCAAACGTGCCCGGCGAATGTCGAAATTGTAGAAATTTAAAAACCGTATCTCGCCTTTCATCGACAAGGCTCGAATCATTCGGATGTAAAATAAGGGCACTATATTGCGTTCTTTCGGCGCCCGATTCTCGGCATCGCGATCGATACGATTGGTATCGAGATACGAGTCGAAGAAGACATTCGGATCCCTTTTACCTTACATTCCAAATACGCGTTGCTCCCCGAAGTTACATTCGACGGTGATAATACAACTGGAAGACTGGCTGGAAATGCGTCCGATCATTTTTATCGCCGTTTATTCCTCGAAGAAGAAGAGAGTAATATGTTTTTATGGTCGGCGAGCTTACTGAAAGTCGCTGAAACGTGATTTAATTCCGCCCCTTAATCACGGTCGATGACAGGGGGTTCCCACATAAAACTAAGCGTCATCCCGAGACAAAACATAGTTTCCCTCCTCCGGCAACCCGTTGGTTTTAAAAGATAAACCTCAAGTCCTTCTATCCGTGGCGGCCTAAGCAAACAGAACTTCGTAACGAGTTTTCTCTGTACCCAAATTGGCGTAAATCGAAATGAAGTTATCAACGGTAGCAAAGTCACTTAAAGCTGGCCGTGACTTTGAAGTAGATTCATTAATTATCGGTAATTATCTCGAAATAATTAATTACGACGTATATATTTATTAAATTATTATGCACGAGATTTCCTAAATTAACTTGAACGTATGTAAAATGTTGAGTGCTTCTTATCCTGAGAATTTAATGTCTTGCGCAAATTCCACACTTTGCTTAAACACAATATTTCCAGCATCCAGTGAAACCTATTAACTCGTTAACTCATTAATAATAAATTTATATTTAGCCAACGCAAGCATTTTAAAGAAACATTTGGAGACAGAAACTTTAATCTCTCGACGGAAGCTCCATACTTTTATTCCGCAAATCCGCAAGTACAAAATTTCGGATTTTATCCGCGCGCAGCGCTCCACGTGCAGCTTCCGAGACATCTCCGCGCCTTTCTGCCATCTTCCTCGTCGACGAGCGAGCGCCCCTCGAAGAAGAGAAAATATTAACCAAAGAGCGTTCGCGAAAAAACAATCCTGCAGAATGGTCGGTGCGTAAGGCGAGATGAAAAAGCCGCGAAAGAAAAGACGAGAAAACAGAAAAGAAGGCAGGACGAGGGGGGACGGTTGCCCCGGGGTGCTCTCGATAAATCCTTACGCTCCTGGATGCCGCCCTTCCGCCCGATCAATATTGCGTTGGTGGGGCCGAGGCAGGACGGTCAGCCGCGAGGGACGGTAGGGGGTTGCAAAGCCGCGAAGGGTTGAAACGAGGCGAGGGGCAACGAGGGGTGCGTCGCCGCGGTGGAAGCAGCAGTGTCGGTAGGTACATCGGGTGAACGCGCGGGGTAGCGGGGAAGTTACTAACGGCACGAGGGTAGGAAGACGCGGCGACGGTGGGGGTTGTTTAGGTGGGGACGGTGGTGGAGAAGCTAACGCTGTCATGGCGCCGCGCAGCATCGCCAGGCAAGCGGCACCTCGGTGTACTCCCTCGCGGCGCGTTACGCGTTCTACAGAATTGCGCGATCGGCAGCGACGAGCGACCTGGTGAAATCCGCGTGAGTTCGTACCGTCGTTTCGCGTCGCGTCGCAAGCCGCTCGTCGCGTTGGTGTCCGGATCGTTTGTGTCCGAGCGCTGCAAACGCAGTGTCCCACTCCTTGCGTTCTCCCCATGTCTCTGCATATCCTGACACTGGCTACTGACAACTAACCGCAAGGACACCGCGGTTCGGAAGACGACGTGAGACCAGCTCGCGTGACTCGCGATAGGAGAGACCGTGGTGAATCGAATTCGCGCCGCGAATAGTGACGTCTCTTCCGTTTGTTTTTTGCACGAGCATTTCGATATACGTTTCGGTCGTGTGTACACGATCGGCATACACAGAGACGACAGTGACGCGAGTGACAGCAGCCGATCCACAGCGATCGTCGCAAGGATCCAACGCGTCGGTGGAAAAAAAGCGATACACGCTCCGGCTGGCTCGCCCGCGCCGCCATCGATCGCGAAGGTCGAGACTGAAGGTCGCGACTCTCGGGAATTCGTCATCTCCGGGATTATCTCACCGAAACTCAGTGTGACCGGACTCTTCATCCCGACGGTGCGGGAGCGCGCGCTTTTCCTCGAAACGCGATCGCGATACGTCGCGAGCGCCGGATACGTTCGAGTGTGTGCTGGAAACACCGTTGACGCGGCACGCACCAAGTGAATCGATGCCGGGCGAGAGGAGGTCGTGATAATCGTCAACGGCGCTCGCTGCACGATGTCGCGGCGCGACGAGACACGTGACTGAGGCGGAGCAGCGGCGAGAGATCCTTCTGGTGAGGACCTTTGCGGGTCCTAACCGGGGAACCGACATCGGCGAAGATAGGCGGGGGTGATCGCCGCGGGTGGATCGGGCTGGCAGCGGCTGGATTTCGTCGCAACGTGCTACTAGAAATAACAATGTCCTAGCGAAGGCAGGACCTCGTCTCTAGGCCGATCCCCCTCATCCTGCTCCACTTCTCTTCCAGGAACCTTCACATACATCCCGTCGCTCTCCCGATCATCAACGTTACACCCGTCATATCGCGTCCCGCCGCATATACGCTCGCGTTGATACAGATTCGGCCGCGTACACGTAATCGGTCGTGCGCGCGCGTACGTACACACACATAGAGGTATACACACACACACACACACACACACACACACTCGTGTACTCGCGAAAGAAGGGAAAAAGAAAGGAGGAGAGAAAAAAAAAGAGGGACACGCACGCACAACGCACACATACTCGCGCTTTCGACGTTTCTGCTCCATTTTTTTTTCATTTTCACTCTCTGTCGTCGATTTTCCGCGGTATCGTCGGCGCATCCGCAGCCTGTACACGCAGGACGCAAACGTATAAACACGCGCGGACAAACACCGAGAGTTACATAGGTACGGAAACGCGGCGCGAGCCTCCCGAATCTAGCCAAGTCCAAAGTCCTTAATCCCGTGGGGTGATCCTGGCCCCGCCCGTACGCGAAGGAACCACACCCCAACGAGAGAGAGAGA